GAGTTTCGAGTGGTAGTGGGGGTCGCCTCAGGAATCTGCCCGAAATGAGCAACTAATTCCGAGCACTATTTTATATCATTATTTTCGTCGAAAAAATTCGATTTCTGCTCCTGAAATAATTTTACAAATTTAAATATCTTTTAGAAGTGATTTCTATTTCATATACCACAGTAATTTTTTGATAATGTGAGAGAGAGAGAGAGAGAGAGAGAGAGAGAGAGAGAGAGAGAGAGAGTCTTCTCGTCTATTATTTGATAAGAAACTTAAATGGACTTGGACACGAAGATAACCCGCGAAATGCATAACTTCTGTAAAGAAACTTAAATTTTTCGCAACAGCACGGCCGAGTATATTCGCGTATATATTTAATAATAATTGTACATATATCTCAAAAATAAAGTGTTTAAAGGTTTAAAGCATTTGCACTCTTTGACGAGATTGTATTTTCATTACCTGAGCAATATTTAAGTTACGCAACTCATTGGCGATATATTGCGTGAGTTCAAACTTCAAGTCAGCAAAGCGGCTAGGTCTGCTCGCAGAGTGGCACCCAGTTGGACACGGCTCAATTGGACACGAGCCACTCACAGCGCTTGAGACTACAAAGCTCCTAAGCACCGGTCGCTTTGATTGGTGGTGTCCAATCGAGCCGTGATCAATCGGGATCACCCCCTGCTCGCCGAGCAATTAAATATGATTAATTGGATCCACTGGTAAGAACCAATCATGCTAGACGAGTATGTCACTATTGTCGCTTTGACGGTTTAAATCACGAACTAAGTCCGGATCTACAATAGGTGTTTTAAGCCTTAAGCCGTAAGAAATCAACCAATTGTGGTCGAATTCGAGAAGAATAAGCGATTGTGATTCGTCCATTTCTTATGGCTTAATACTTAAAAATCTATTGTAGATCCGAGGTAAGAAATAAGGAGTCCGAACTCCGTGAAACAAAAGTGGTTCTGGCACTGAACTATATATACACTGGAATAAGCATCGAGGAAAATTCGTGGCCGCAATTGAGTAACCGCCATTTTGGGTGGGTCAAATATTTGAGCGAATCAGAGCGTCGCGTGCGCGTTGCGATCGATGTACCATCGATGTGTGAAAATCTATATGGACATAAATGGTATATAAATAAAAATAATATCACTTCAATTTTATTAGTACATACATTCAATAAAATAACTTTAATAACATTTCATATCCTACACATATGCAGGAATTGATATATTTAATACAAAAATTTTACCTATAAAATGAAAGGCCCTTTTTACTTCTCTGCCTACAGCACTTCATGTTGATGCTTTGTAGACAGTCACGCGATTTTATAATTCTTCAAATATAACCTCACACACGATAATCTTGCTGACATATGCGCAGGGTTGGGTAGTAACTAGTTAAAACGTTAAAAGTTAAAAAAAAAGTTAAAAAGTTAATAACTTTTAACTTAACTTAGTTAATTATAAGTATATTAAATTTTAACTTAACTAAGTTACTTTTAAACGTTAACTTTTTAACTTTTTTTTAAGTTAAAAATTTTTTTATCTCTTTTAAATGCCTTAGAAAAATAATAAAATATATAATAAGACTAAGCGTATATTCGTAATCCGTATCATATTTTAAGACCATCTTAAGTAATTTCTTAAGATCCCATACAGCACAGAATTTGCAGCAATACTGCTGCAATAACGCTGCAATATTGCTGCAACGTGCAATATTGTTGCAATGCTGCAGCATTGTTGCTGCAACTTTTGTGCTGTAGGGGATGCTAATACAGCCCTCTGATTGGCTTATGCCTTATGCCATAAGCTTTAGGCCGGTATTCATAGTCAGATCTTATATTCAAGACCGTCTTAAATACGGTCTTAAGAAGTCACCAACCAATCAGAAGGCTGCATTAGAGTCTTAAGACATTACTTAAGACGGTCTTGAAATAAGACTCAACTATGAATACCGGCCTTAGTCCGGATTTAGTCCGGATCTACAATAGGTGTTTTATGCCTTATGCCGTAAGAAACTGACCAATTCTAGTCGAATCCGAGAAGAATAAGCGACTGTGATTCGCCCATTTCTTATGGCTTAAGGCTTAAAACCCTATTGTAGATCCGGGGTTACAATAGGTGTTTTAAGCCTTAAGTTTAGGGATGCCGCAAGACGAAACAAGACGAGATTTTAGGAAATATCGTCTTGTCTTGAAAAATCTTGAAATGTACATTCTTGTCTTGATCTCGAACTCGAAAATCTTATCTTGTCGAAATTCTCGAC